GGATTGAATTAATACCTTATTTCACGTGGCGAGACTCGGGCCATCAGGCCCGCTCTTCCGTCTGACCACACAAATTTCCCTAAGCTCTTTTTACCAACTAACAGAGAAAGGAGGTATTTCTTGTGCGAGAAACAGGCAATTTGAATTTAGCACAGAGGTGTCATTGAGGCTTGAGGATCTTTTACATGCAAGTAAATCTACTAACATGGAATAGCCGGCTTTACTTCCCCTCCGAAGGAAGGTGTAAGAAGGATTTTTTCGCCCTTAAAATTCACGGCGTTGAACGGGTTTTTAACCCGCTAACTTGGGTATAACAGTCCGATACGCCAACCGTTACACCATCGCCGCGCGCAAACATTTGCGAACAGTCAGTGCATTGAAATTCTGACGGCTCGCTGGCGAAGGATCTGCCGGCACCAAATTGGCGAGAGTGCAAATTCGCACGCAATACATGGATGTTGTACTTCACATCCCAATTCCGTCAATTCACAAATTTTCTTTTTCTCCGTTTGTATAAGTAAAGGTAGGTAATTTTTCTTCGCCAATACTTACAAGTATCCTCGGCTCTCTATAAGCGCAACATTAAGGTCGTTAAAGAAGAGGAGATCTAAAGAAAGTGGCCAGAAATGAAGCGTTTCTAAGCAAAATGTGAATGGAAACATTTGTTCACCAAACTTAGAAGACTAGATGGTGAATTGTTTACTACTCAAAATGCCTCACAAGTCTTTCTCAGTACATGAGAAAGTAAAGTAATCTGAATATTTTGAATTTCGAGACGAAAACAAAAATAATGAGGAATGTAGTAAAATACAATAAGAAATATTTTATGGCTGTTGTTCTGAAGGATGACGCTAAAGAGGTAAGGTGCACTTCACTATACGCACGTTAAGTGAGCTCTCCTTTTGCGTGTTGTAGTAGGAGTAGAGACAGGAGTGTGGTTTACTATTTTTTTTATAAATACTAACCACTCAGTCCTGTAGTTCGTTTACCAAAGCAAACTTTTTCTATTACTCTGGAGCGAGAATATATATTTTCAAATGTTACTGAACTTCATTTGTTGGAGATATTTATCATTCAACTATTTAGAGAAAAAAGAAGGGGAAGGAGTTACATAGTTCAAAAAAGTGTGTCGACTTTTCCCACATACGTCTCACAATTTGTGCTGTATATTGAGAAAATAAATCAAAAGAAATCAAATGAACTATTCAGCAAGTGGCTAGTCTCATCAATCTGTTTTTTTTTTCTTTTTGAGAATTGCGGTTGATTTAAGTTAAATGGATTCTTATAAACCGAGTATTTCCGGATATTTTCAAAACCGCTATCCGTGTTTTCAAAACGAAAACGCAAATAAAATTCAAAAAATTACATTTTCTTAGGGGGTTTTGGCAGTTTTTCTAAATTATAAGGGAGTATTTTCTATCTAGAAGGTCTCCTGGGGCAGAGAGTCATTACCTGCCAATTTTTAACTTTCGTTTTCCAAGAAGCGCCTGCATTACTGAGTGGTTGTTGCAATAATTCTAACGAAGAGCTCACGCTGCTTGAGAAGGGAGAAGGAGTCACGTGACGAAACTAGACGGTTGGAGAAACGGTGGCTGCCCGTTCCAAAATCAGGACGGTTGACGTTCTCGAAAGATGGACGTGTGCATCATCTGCTACGTCTGCGGGCAATGTGTCCATATGTTTTCCGATCCTTTCATTTATAATTCAGCAACTGGTGTAGTTGTGAGTTTGTTGAAACAGTTTAAGTTCTAAGATTTATCATTTAATTGTTGTTTACTTAGTTTAGCATTTTATTGCACCAAAGATTTGACATGAGTTGTGCTATTATTTATTTTGCATAATTTCGTTATAATATGCATTTTATATATGACGCAATATTCGCAGCACTTGGGACGGACTCTTCACGGAAAGCGCGAGCAAAAAATAAAGAAATGTACTCACCGTCACTTTATCAACGACCTCATTTACATTCTTTTACTTCGCGAAACAGCACGACCCACATTTGGCTGTTACTGAGTTAATTGTACAGAGTGGGAACCGACTAAGCTACACGCATACACACAGAGA